GCAGTTTTGATGATTCTTTTGGTCTCTCTTCTCGCTTTCCTGTATTCTATATAGTCTTCTTCGGTCTTTGACTTCTGGCATTTCTTGAATTTCTTCTTTTCAATCTAATTGCTTCTTTGGTTTCATCATTCCACCAGCTTGTTGTTCTGCCTTTGTTTCCACCTATTCGTTTGGTGCCACAACTGTTTTTTTAAAAGTATTTATGACAGGGATTTTTTGAATATTTGCCATTCGTCTTCTATGTCCTTGATCTCAGGTGACAGTTTAAAGTACTCCTTGGTAATGTCATCCTCGACTGCTTTCTTGATGTCTGGTTCTTCCAATTTTTTTAGGTTCGTCGTGGTTTTTCCCCTGTTCTTCTTTGTTTGCTTTACGTTGTGGGTTGTCAGAGTAAGTATCACAGGTCTGTGGTCCGTGTCGAAGATGTAGTTTGGAACCGCTCTCGAATCTTTGGCTGTATGTCTTTGTTTTCTGCTCATCAGGATGAAATCAATTTGTGAAGCATGGGACAGGTCACTCCATTTGTACCAGGTCTTGATTTGGCTTTGTCTATGTTGGAAAAATGTGTTCGTAATCATCATATCGTGCTCAGCGCATAGGTTTAGTATCATTAACATTTCTCCATTGCTGTTGCAAGTCTGTATCTTTATCCCATGGGGTTCTTCTTCGTCCAACTCTGCCATTTAAATTAAATCTCCCAAGATAAATATATCTTCTTTGTTCTTGATGGTGTTAATATGGTCACTCAGGTCTTGGAAATACGATTGTCTATCTTCTTCTGTATAGCTGTCGTTACAGGGAGCATATGGTTGGATGTACGTAGTTGTTTTGCAACCCTCTATGAGTTTTATGCTGACTATTCTCTCTGAGATCTGATTGATTTCATAGATTGTATCCATTTTGACTGGGTGTTCCGCTCCAGATCAGTAGGTAGCCTTTATGGGTCAGCTTGCTGTGGTTGCCTCTCTTCCTTATGTCTGACAAGCCCATGATTGCTATTTTCTTTCTTTCCATGAAATCCACTATTTCTGGTTCTTTGTCTCCAAGTCCGCTGACATTCCCTCGTCGGGGGAGGTGGAAACAGGACAAAGTAGGGGATAGCTGGGTCTGGGTGAAGTACGGTGTGACTTTATGTCACTGAGGCGTTACGCTAGCCGTTAAGGCCGACCCGGGTCACCCCGAAACGTTGCTGGCTAAAGGGGCTCTGGTGAAACCGTGACTGGCCTAGCAAACCGACGGCGGATAATTACTGCTACGAAAAAATCGAAGGAGAAAACACAGACAGATTCAAACGGAAAACGACCTGGAAAAATAAACGGACAGCGAGCTAGAACTAGAACAACGATTAAAATCGTGTTTGTACATGTAATTATATTGTACATGATGTATTGTGTGAGTGTGTAATGTGTGCTTCAGCTGTAACATTTAGTATGATTTAGTCGTTCATGTGTGCTCCCTACCTGCAGTATGCACCAATTTCCAAAAAAACAAAGATCAATAAAAGAAATGTTAAAAACAGTTGGAGTTGGCGTGTGCTGTGGTGTGGTTTGCTCTTTCTTTCCTACCAAACACAAACATCTATCGCTCGCAACTGCATAAGGTCACATGAGCGCCGAGGGATGGATGCTATACGCTCTTATACTATCTGTCATGTCAACAGAGAAGTCTTTACAGGGAATCAGACTTGGACTGCTCACCTCTCTAGCCTCAACAGCACGAGGTCTGCTTCGACTATCAAGGCACCCCGAAATTAAATAGCAGATCACAAGAGAGTGACAAACATACAAAAAAAGTAGAGGAAAATGACAATAAGGATCAGGAAAGAAAAAGCAGCAGTTCCCTGTTGTAGATCAGGCACAGTTATGAGCGTGACATGAATCAGCCCATTTACAACTCTACTATGCTTGAACGAGAAATGGCCCCCCTTTGGGAATGGCCTAAAGACACTACAGTCAGTGGCACTGC